TGTCAAATTATTTAATATAACTTCGAAAAGAACTGCCTACTGTACTAAAGGGAAATTCCTGCTTTCAAAATCCGCGCTTTACCTAACAAGGACCATTTGATATGACGTCACCAGAGCGCCTTGCGTAATTTTGTAGTTTTTAAAAATAAAATCATGATTCTAAACGTTTTCCCTTTTAACTAACAAGGAGTATTATATTTTACTAACAGGAACATGCACTTTACACATTAGAGACCAGACACGTGTTTCATATGTCCTCACCCAATAAAATGAAACATACATTCCCCCAAAATTAATTTCATATCACAGTATATAACAGAGAACACCTTGTATAAAAACTTGCTTCCTCCAGTAAAAATTAAATTAAATTTAAAAAAAAATTAAACAGCATTTTTTTTTTGTTGTCCATAGGTTAAAATTCAGGGATTATCCCAAAATGTCCATTTAGTAACTCAAATCTTAGAGGAAATAACTTGAAATTATTAAATCAAAATTTTTAAATAATAACCCAAAATTTTGACAGTTTTTTTTTCCAACAACAGACAGCAGCTTCCATAAACACCACTAAAGGAGCCTTCCTACTCAGTTTCATTGGATTTCTTTTAGATATCATAGCAAACTAAAAGTTTCTGATATACGCTTATTCAGCTATTAGAAAATACCACCTCGCTAATAGTTAAAGAAAACTATAAACAAAACAAAAATGACCATTACCCTCCAAAAGCCTTCAGAACAAACACTAAATGTGTTTGATGTGCAGCCGTCAGTATTACTCCCTAAATTGGCTTTGGTTCATCAAATCCCTGGATGAAATTTGCTCTACAGACAAGACAAGATGAAAAAGACCTGTCTGCATTTTCCAGCATCTCATTATATTTATTTATGTGAAAACGGAAACTGAAGCTTCAGAAACTGAACTTGTTGGCTTCTGTGTCAAAGATGTATGAGATGATAAAAGCTACAGATGCTTTAAAAACAAAAATCTCAAGGTGCATAACCTACTCAGAACCTAACATTAGCAAGACAGAGACTAGCTGGTGAACACTGGAGAATTTAACAGGAAACAACAGCCTAATATTTCCCTCAGGAGCTGGAAGCCAAAAACAAACATAAAAGAGTGAATTTTGTTTTTGATGTTTGTCAGTTGGACACATATGCAGTGTGGCCAGGAAAACCTGTGATCTGTACCCCAGAGAAGAAAAGAACGGAAACTGTGCACACTTAGCAAAGACAAGGTTGAAAGGTGTATCTTCAGGGTGCTGCTCCAAACTCACTCTTTGTCTCTTTGTACTTACCTGCTCTACATAATCTTCTTCCCTGTCCCTCTTTGTGGAGATCAAGGGAGTGGCCTCTTCTGCTCTGTGAGACACTGAGGGTTCTGGTGAGGCAGTGAGAGCAAAGAAAGCGGGAGCAACAGCAGCTCTCCATCCCTCCCAAAAATCTTCATCTGGGTACTCCTGGACAAGTGGAGAAAGAGGCCACACTTCCACATTTTCATCTTCTGTGTCCAGCTCAGCCTCATCTATGAAGGAGTACCCAGAATCCTCACTGGTCCACTTTTCCCAGTCCCAGGTTCCTCGGTGTCCACATCTCGGCCGGCCTTACCTAGTCCACAAACATTTTCCACCAGGTAGGAAAAGCAAAACAAAGGCTGTACTTTTTCAGGAAGCTGCGTCAGGCCCAATTACCCCAGAGACTGCTAATTAACTTCTACCGCTCCACCATCGAGAGCCTTCTGACCTACTGCTCCACACTGGTTCAACTGCTGTACTGTGGAGGACAAGAGGAAACTGCAGGGGGTTTATCATCTTCGCCTATTCTAAAAGAATCTGAATGTAAATCTACATTCAATGGAGAGATGCCGAACTGTGTTTCATTCTTATTGTAATAGTGACAATAAAGATCTATTCTATTTTATTCTATTCTATTCTAACTTTACTATTCAGAGCCATGCCAAGGTAGAAACAACCTAAATAAAAATGTTCAATGATTTTATAATTTCATCTGGAAGTGGTCTTGTTGAACTATTAGAAAAATACACTGGTCAAGCTCAAGATATTACAATATAACAATGTTGTTCTAGACACATGCCTTTATTTAATGAGATGTCTTAAACAAGTGTTATCAAAGGAAATTCACAGTTTATTTTGAAGTGCCATCTAATTTTAATTCATCTCTTCTGGATTAAAAAAACATTTTTATCAGAATTTAAAGATACATATTGTTATGGACCAATTTGAAAAACAGGAGTCGTCACAGGAATTATTAGAAAAAGATGTTTTTTATTTATTTAACCCAAAAAGTTACATTTACAAAAACAATAAATGTTAAGCTCATAAAAGAGGTCAAAGAAACAAAACTGAACTCAGGCAAAGAACTGTGAACTTGACGAAGCAACTGACTGCCCACACAAACATAACTGACCTAAACAGGAAATGACACACGAGGGTATATATAATGGTTGATCAGGTCACTATGACGCAACAGGGGTAACTAAACACAACACAATCAAGAACCGTTAAAAAAGATGCAGTACAATCCAGTTAATAAACTAAACACCAAAGAAGAAAATCAAAAACACTAAACCCTGAACTCAAATATTTAGTTAAATACAAAAGCTTGTTTAACTAAAGAAAATACACTTTCT